CCCTTGATGCACACTTTTGTTGAGCCTGGATGCAAGCCTGCGAGCTCTGCAACAGACTTCTACCCGACAGTCAAAACTGCATTACGTCACGAAAGTGTGAACTCAGAGGAAGATCGCGAGGGCTTAGTGGGACATTTAAGACAGTGTATAACACATCAGATTCACGTTCATCTGTGGATAAAACTGAGCATGCTTTAGCACCACTCACTGGACATTTCACTTTGAAGTAATTTAATTTTACAGAAATGTCACCACAGGCACATATTTCCAATGAGCCTGGGTTGCATATTGGTCACACTTTGTATGTATGTATTTTTCTTAAACCTGAATATTACACTGGGATGTAACTCCTTTTGGCTGACTTTTTATTTTGTATTTTTTAAATTGTAATTTTTCAAATTTCTTTAACCTAATTATTACACTATTATAATGATCCTCTATTATCATGAAAGCTCTGCCCTGTTATGACCATCTCTTGCATTGTGGACAGTTGGCAGATCAGTGTTACTGCCCCTCACAACTGGTCAGCATAGTGTTCATGTTGGCTTTGACCTCAATATGACATCCATCAACATGATCCTCCACATCCCACTGTCACAAGCTGCAGGCTGCCTGCTTCTGATTGGTCAGAACAGAGAGAATCATGTCTGCTCAGCCCCTTGATCAAACACACACAGGAACTCTGTGACAGCCTTGTTATTGTGTTTTTTTTAAGTGAGATACATTTCTCTGATGACCTACTGGAATGTTGTTTTTCTGACAGCTGATGGCATATGAAGGCAAACATTTCAGATCTTCTCCTTTTTGACAGATGGAGTTCTTTAGGACATGCTGAACCTTAGGCAGGGACAGATGTCTGTGACTAATTTGCAGTGAATATAAATCAGACAAAATGGCGCAAAGCATATCGTTTTCTTGAACCGTCAGCAGAATATCCGTGGGTTGTATCAATGCAATGTGAAATAGGTGGATGGCACTCTTTTTTTTTTTGTTCAGATCTATTAATCAATTAAAAAATTAAATTCATACTGGTTTACACCTCTGCTATGAAGAAAATGTTCTTAGTTTATGAATTAAGTCATTTTTGATATTTTTGAAAAGTCGATAAGTGATGACTGTCCTGATATCATGATAAAGAAAAATGACTTATTAAATAAATTAATTTCTTCTAAAATCTTAACCATTGTGGCGTAATCAATCAATAATTATTTATTTTTGTTATATGTGAAGAATATTATTAATGTAAAAATACAATTAATATCACATTATTTATGTGGAAAAACTTCAGTCTGCCAAGTCAATGTCGTGTTGGGCCTCCACAAAAATATATTGATATTTAGGAATTGATATTTGGAAGAAAAAAAAATACTTTGAAAAAATATATAAAGACTTTTTTTTTAAATGATGATTAAGATGCCATTGACCCAAATACAATTGTGCACGTTTGAACTATGAATTAGATTGAGACCAAAAATTATGAAACATGAAAAAATCATTCACAACTAACATTATACTATAGCGCTAGATGGCAAGTTTGCACAATGCACAAGCAGAACAAGACCAAGAATGAAGAAAGTCATTAAGGTCAATTTTGATTTCATATTGATTTTAAGCAGAAACTCTTGTTTACCAAATGTGCATACACAATTCCTCTTTCTTTTATTTGCTTAATCAGTATGAATTAATGCAGCTGAAAAAGACAGTGACAAATAAACAGCCAAGCTCATAAAACACTGATGTTTCACTGCAGATGTGCGCCATGGGCCCAGAACCAGAGGCATAAACAGGCTGGAACTGGCAGGTCATGCATTGATAACTTTCAGCAGAGACGGGATATTAGATGCTCCATATTTCTCCAGCTCAGGCTCTGTGAAAGTACTCACTTCATTGTAATTAACCAGAGGAGAAGAGTGGCTGTGAACGGCCCTTGATGTAATTCATTTGACCTCATAAAAAAGATGTGAGTGTGATTTTTGCCTCCCCCTCTGCTGTGGACAGGACATCAGATGAGTGAATACATCTACATTGGTTGCACGTCTGACATCTAAGACTTGTCAGTCTCTGGCTTTGAATCTAGCGAAGTTTGCTAATCCAAGTTTAGAAGACGGTTTCATCCTGGTTTGATCTGCTTGATGAATTTGAGTGGTTGGAGATTAGCTCAAATGTGGCTTTTGTGGTTCAAATGAGAGCTGAAGAATCCAGATACAGTGACTGAGACTGATGGGGTGATCTGCTGGCATTTGTTAACTTTTAATAATTATAGGGTATATCTGGGGCCTGTGCAGGTTTTCGCTGTGGTCCCCCTCAGTTGAAATCGTGGTGAAAGATCCCCTTGCAACTCTTCCCTACCTAAAATATAAAGTTTTATATACAGTATGTATGTACACTGTGTGAGAAAAAAAAGTCATATTATAGAAAAAAAACATTTAGGTTTATTAAAATTAGTTTCATATAATTAACTGTCATGTGTCACACCTATACAGTATAAAATTAGTTTTTATTTTATTTTGACATTTCATTTCAAGTCAAACCAAAATGTTACTTTTTATTATATTAAAATATTATACATGTAAATTCTCTTCAATGTTCCCCTTGATGTTTTTTCTACTCGCTATTCATTTTAGATGTATAAATTATTTATAGTTCAGTAGATGTATAATTCAATTAATATTTTAAATTATTATTATTTTTTAAAATATATTTTTACCTCAGTAACGGAAACTAACAACTATCAAAATTAATTCCTACAAACCTGGTTTTGGAACAAATTTCTTCCAAAACAAAATTTCTACCAGCCATTTTTACACACGAAACCCATTACATCAGTAAATATGCTAGATTAATTTGTCCAGTGAATGTACCACATGTGCCATTCACACACACAATGGCTTTTCCGTCTTTTATCCATATTGCTTCCATTCACACATCAGCGTCAAAATTCTGTGTCATATGCCGGAAATGACCTTAAACAGTTGTGCCATTTAGCGTCTGTCCAATTTGTTAACATTTCTTTCCACGGCGTAGATAATAACAGTTATTGACTCACAACTAAATGGCATTGGAGTATCTGCATCAGTTTTCACTTTGTGATTGTCTGAATTCAAAAGCTTGAAAATATAATCACATGTATGAAACATATGTGTCTAAACCAGTCTCATTATACAGAGTTAGTCAGACAAACTGCCAACTAGTCAATTTAGAAAATATGTAGTTTTGCACTTTAAGTGTGAGACTATTGTTGCTGTGTAGGCAACGCTCTGTATAGTAGCTAATTGTGTTGTAAATGAAGCTCTCTGCTGGAAAAGAGGGGTTGTTTTGTATTATGACTAATGTGGGTGGCTGGAAACAAAGATTGGAGAAATTTAAATGTTCTTAGGGAAGAATATAGCATCTATTTCTGAGTGGCAGAAAGTGTGTGCGTCTAAACGGTGGAGCCGGGGGGAGAGAGAGAGAGAAGAGGAGCGAGTAAGAGTGTGTCTGGATCGTCACTGTGTCACGTGACTGTCAGGTTTCCTTGGAGACAGCAGCAGTGTTGTGCATTGAGATGCTCCTTCAGTTGAGCACAGAACAGGACAGGCAGCTGGACAGAGCGGTCACCGCTTGCGTCTCGCCACTTCATAGACGGACACTCTTTGCCTTGCGGGAGGGTGAGTGAGTAATTGCATTGAACAGAAGAGCTTTATTAATAAAAAAGGAGACTTTTGTAGTTATAGTAAATGTCTAGCATGATTTTCTTTCCTTGTGTTGGATCACTTTTGCTCGATGCTGGTAACTATTTCATTCAAGGTCTCAGAAGGATGTTCCAGTTGAAATACGGTGTTCCACGAGTCGTGTGACATGACGTTAGCAGCCTCAGGGAACATTAACATTAGGACGTCTCAGTAATACAAATGCACCGACCCTCCGATCGACTGAACTAAGAACCCTTTGGATGTTTCGTTTCATTTGAAGAGATTGTATTTTGGATTGCAGTAAACAAACGTCTTCAATATGAGCAGGGTTCCCACAGTCATGGAAAACCTGGAAATTTCAAGGAATTTTAAAATTGTGGGTTACAGGCTCGGAAAAAGTAAAAAATCCTAAAAAGTCATGAAAAAGTTCTGGAAATTTCTATAGTGAATATAGATGTTTTGTTTTTGTTGTGCTTAATCAGGAATTGGTTGTGTGTATTTTAACCCCTTTTTTTCTTAAATCCCTATACATTAGTCACAAATGACCTTGTGGGCATATTTAGGGAAAATCCTAAATATTAATCAGTCAAGAGGTAAAAAACAAAAAAAAATAGGAAAAATAAGGATATAAAGAGACTAGTGACTGATATATGGAAGGGACGTTTCAGTAGGTCTGTTTTTGTACAAAAGCCAACCGAATCTCATGAGAAACCGTAACCATTTTATGACGTGGTGATTTCGTATGAATTCGTACAATGTGATGGAAATGTATGATTTTTAGAAAAAGAAATGTAAGCAAGAAGGTCCACCCCTAAACCTAACCATCAGTGGAATGTAAGCAGATCTTACGAAAGTGTACAAATTTACGCAAATTAACCACAAATTCGCCAAAACATAAAATAGTTTCGAATTGCGATGAGAGTGTGTCGCCAAAATGGTTTTTAATGTCAATATTTTGAAACTTCTTGAAATCTTATGAAATGAAAGGAAGTGATCTATCATGTGTGTAGATCGTGGCACTCTTTACTCACACAAATTACCTTCTGCAACGTCACCCCCTCCTGTTTCTCCCAACCTTCTCGGATTTCTTCGGCTTTAATTAGAATTCCCCTAAACCCTTTTGTCATCTTGTTAACTTAATTAAGTTTGGGCAAATAGCATTAAATTAAAACGTGTGCATCTTGAAGGCGATTATGATGCACTCAAACGGTGTACTTCAAAAATAACATGACTTCTTAGAGCGGTTTGATGTCCCCTTGTGCGCTTGGAGAGCTTAGAGCGGCATATAGGTTTGTGGCTATGCTTGACTCAAACTCTATAATTTTGCAGTCAGCTGAGGCCAGTGGCCAACAACATGAACGATACCGTTCTCATTTCCCCCGGGACGCCAACGCCTTCAAAAAGGTAAGCGTTCCATACAGGCTTCAGTCTGCATGCTGAGTGTGTGTGTGTGTTTTTCAAGCTCCTCCACTTAAGCCTGTTATGTAAAATGGCTTGTTTTGATATTATGCTGCGTGCGGATGAGTAGAAGATTGTAGCATCTTTCTCTGGGTGGATTGTTTCAATGTTTATTGCATCGCTGCAGAATTAGGTTGAATGTTTGCCTTTCAAAGCCAGATGACTAAAAGCATTGAATCGAGAAATTGGCCTGCTGTCTCCGAAGCCTCTGCGCTTCCTGAGCTGGGCTGCAGCCCAAAGGTGATCCGGAAGATAAACTCTCATGGAGCGAGAGCCTTATCTTGTAAATAGAGAGTTGGTCAGAATGGCTTTTTCTGTTTTGTGCTGTTGACACATGGCCAGGGTCCCAAGACAAATGCCTTTGCTTGTAGTCAGTTAACACTTGTCTTTCCGGCATTGTGAAGTTTTCTGTTATTAAAGGGATAGTTCACTTTGAAATACATTTTTGATATGTTTTAGCTTACCTCAAGGGCATCCAAGATGTAGGTGTCTTTGTTTCCGCAGAAGTTTAAATTTTGATATTTTTAGGTCAAACCGTTCTTGTCTGTCAGTCATATAATGCAGGTCTATGGTCACCACCTCAAAGAGCATGCACAGAGAAGTCCAAATTAAACATGATTTAATGACTCGTAAATGTAAGGACATTGATTGCCTAAGACACGAAACGAGCGGTTTGTGTGAGAAAACGAACAGTATTTATATCGTTTTTACCTCTTGTAACCACAGCCACGTCCAAGTGATCTGAGGGCGCCGGCGCTTCGGTCTGTGCGTTACAAGAGGTAAAAACGATATAAATACTGTTCGTTTTCTCACACAAACCGCTCGTTTCGTGTCTTAGGCAATCAATGTGTACTTACATTTACGAGTCATTAAATCATGTGTAATTTGGACTTCTCTGTGTATGCTCTTTGAGGTGGTGACCATAGACCTGCATTATATGACTGACAGACAAGAACGGTTTGACCTAAAAATATCAAAATTTAAACTTCTGCGGAAACAAAGACACCTACATCTTGGATGCCCTTGAGGTAAGCTAAAACATATCAAAAATGTTTTTCAAAGTGAACTATCCCTTTAAATATCCACGCTCATGTCTTTCCAGATCTGTTGTACTTTCATTTTTCAATAGAACACAAAAAGAGAGTTTAGGTAGAGTGTGCATGCTGCTCAATTCCATAGAATGAAAGTGAATTAGGAAAGATGCTGTAAAGTTCCAAAATTGACACAAAAAAACGTGGTAAAAAAACCTGTCGTCTCGCGCCATATGAAACCTTCTTGAGGAATAGTTACGTTTCGAAAGTTTCAAAAGTTTTAACATTCCCAGCCATTGTTCACACAAAAATTAAAATTTTGTCATAATTTACTCCAGTGCCCTCATGTCGTTCCAAAACTGAATAAGTGACTTTCTTCTGTCCATGTTCTGTCCATGTAAATGTCCATGCAATGGAAGTCAAAGGCAACCAAAACTGATTGGTTACCAAATTTCGTCAAAATATTTTGCATTTTGTTGATTAAAGAAAGTCACATGGATTTGGAATGACATGAGTAGATATGATAGTTGACAATCGTCAGCTATCTTAAAGATGTTTAAAAAAAAACTAAGGTGCTTTTATAATTTACATTTATGCATTTGGCAAACGTTTTTATCTGAAGCGACTAGTATTGCATTCAAGATATATACTTTATCCGTTTTTATCCTATTTCATTCATGCATTCCCTGGCAATTGAACCCATGACCTTGGCATTTCTAGTGCCATGCTCTACTTTTTGAGCTACAGGAACGATAAGTTATGATATATAAATCCAAACGTATCGCACCCTGGCTTGATAAATTTGTTTGAAAAACATAATTTTCAGAAACCCATGGTTTATTGCGCAACATTTTGTATTTTATTATACTGGTGAGCTCCGGCGCAAACATTTACATCAGCTGGAAATTCAATCTCAGTCTTTATGATCCACCATTCCCCATTTATTTACCGGCGCTGCCAAAGCAGCCTGTTTCTCACAGGATTTCTCATGCCGTCCGCCTTCGTTTTAACACATATTATAAGGTAAGCCGTTGCATTTGTTGTCATTGTGTCAGACCACTGACAGTACTTAATATCAAGTGAATACTAAAATACTTATTGAGTCTCGGAGCAACGAGTGTCGTGATGGCAAATAACTTTAATGGACCAGATGTGACATGTTTTTGCACAGAGAGAGGTTGGCTTATTGTTTATTCTGCTCTAAATATAGCCCAGCGTCAAGGCAGGACTAGTGCACTGGTAAACACCCTACATGAAGTCCCTCGCCGTAATGATCATAGTCAGTTTAAAAGGAGCTGACTCTACTCGACTCTTTAACCTAAGGCAATCGGAGATGCGACGCATTTAAATGAGGCCTGTGGTCGAGGGAGATTGTACATGTTAGTTTCATCTGCGCTTCCATCAATAACGCGCCACGCTTATGAAATCAAAGACACAGACTGTCAGACTCTCTGCTTGAACCTTTCACCCAATATCTCAATCTTACGTTACAACACGCTGTCTATGCGAGTAGGATGTCAAGTGCTGGCAATGCCTGGGGCGCCTCAAATTTATGCAGAATTATAATTCACTTAATTCTCGTCTCGAGACTTGTTTACTGGAGTCTGCCAAAATGGAGATGTTAGGGACACAAGGAGTGCTCCTTAGCATTCTTATGTAATTATGTTGCGTTCAACCCGCCACAGTTGATTACATTTGTTAGTGTCGTGATGATTTTTAATGGTCGATACCAATACCAGTGAAATTACACAGAAGACCAAAAGCATTCAATCGAGAAATTGGCAGCTGCCTGTGAACCCTTGGTGCATCTCAGTCTGGGTTACAGCCCAAGGTTATCCAGAGGTAGTTTATTTGCAGGTGCTATCTGCATTGTTTTAACACCTCATTTACTAAAGGAACTATGTAAATCAGGTAATGCTGCAAAAGCATCAACAAAATCCATCATGAATACGTGATGACGTAATCCCTGGCACGTCGCAGACCAGCACAAGACGAACAATTGTGGTTAAAAAGTATATGTTTATTTTTTTTAGAAAATGACCGATCGTTTCGCTAGATAAGACCCTATTCCTCAGCTGGGATCGTGCAGAGCCGTTTGAAGCACTTCATAGCCCTTTGAAACTGCATTGATTTGGACTTCTAAACGTTGGTTGCAATTGAAGTCCATTGTGTGGAGAAAAATCCTGAAATGTTTTCCTCAAAAAACTTAATTTCTTTTCCACTGAAGAAAGAAAGACATGAACATCTCGGATGGCATTGGGGTGAGTAAATTGTCAGGAAATTTTCATTTTGAGGTGAACTAATCCTTTAAGGGATGTGGAATATAGTTGTGCAGAATAAGGCATTAATATGTGCTTTATAAGTTTTAAGAAACAGCCAATATCCTAGTAATATGCATGCTAATAACAACTAGTTAATAGTGTTTGGACCCTAAACTAAAATTTTGTTCCACAGTAAGTAATCATTGCTTATTAATTACTAAAGAACTATCAAAAAATGTAAAAGTTTGGGGCCAGTAAGATTTTTTTTTATCGGTTTTGAAAGAAGTCTCTGAAGTGATCAGTAATGTAGTAAACATTTAAATTTTGTAGAATATTACAATTGTAAATTAATTATTGTTTTCTATAATACAGTATATTATAAATTTTCAGCCTCATTACTCACATTTTCAGTGTCACATGATCCTTTAGAAATCATTCTAATATGCTGATTTACTGCTCAAAAAACATTTCTTATTATCATCAATAGTTGGGTTGCCTTATATTTTTGTGGAAACACATTTTTTCCCCCAGAAAGTTCAAAAGAACAGCATTCATTTAATATATATATATATATATATATATATATATATATATATATATATATATATATATATATATATATATATGTAGTTTTTTTGAAGACCAAGGGCAACTGTAACATGCTCAGAAACGTTTTCTCTCTACTATTGTATAAGACTGACAATGATTATTTATTATTAATATCAATTAATATCATATTTATTCTTTGCAAGTAAGCTGGTTAATGATATGGTAGTGTTACAGTTGCCCACAACCATAACAGGAGATTGTAACTTAAATTCATAGTATACAATTTTTATTGTACTTTTACTAGTGGCATATATTTTTATATCAAAGGGTGGCAAATAGTTTTAATGGGGACATATATGCCCTTTTACAAAGTTTTGTTTTTGGGGTCTAGAAGAGGTTTTCATGCTTGAATGTTCACATATTTTATTTACATTTCTTCAGCACTCTCTTCCCAGTCTGTCAGTAACGCTCTGTTTAGTTCCAGCCTCTATGAAGCCCCTCCTTCCGAAAAGCTTAGTGTGCTCTGATTGGCCAGCTGGACAAGTGTGTTGGGATTGGTCAGCCGCTTCGAGCTTGTTTCGGAAATGTTACGCCCTTACCATGAGCTAGTTAGATCCGGACATGGTGACAACTTTTCTTTTTTTTTTTTCGTATTGTGGGAATTATTTAAATGAGGAATATTGTGATGTGTACATTCAGAAAACACGAGACTGCAATCGAGGCGTTTCGAGGAGTTCAGCGTCAGTGCTGCTCACTGAAATGGAGAATAACTCCCTTTGGAGTGACTTTGTGTGGTGTAACTTTGCAGGCCTTTTGCATGCTCAAAGAGCAACATTACACACTAAAGAAAGTTGAAAATGTAAAAAAAATGTGACAACAGCCCTTGATCTCCCTTACTTCTCAAAACATCAACAAGATTTTGTGTTAAACTTTTTGGGCCTTGAACTTCCATAAGAAGTTTTTCCTTCTCTCTCTAGCTCAGTTTGGGTGTAATTGCATGGCCTTGTTGGGACATCAAACCTGTAGGCGGGACAATAAGCTCCAGTCTCTCTGCTGACGGTGCACCCTCTCCAGCACACGTTCATTTACCGGGTTGGGCTTTCAAGGACAAGTGGCCTTGCGTAGAATTTATCATCTGCTGGGTCATGGACAGTCTTGCTGGCAGAACAGAAATATAATTTTCCATTTGCGCTGAATGAGTTTTTAATTTGAAGTTAAGTGAGTATTGACCACCTGCCACTGGATATGAAATCATTGACTCCACCTCTCAGTCTAGCTCTCGAGAGTGCTGATATGCTCTCCATGTCCTTTATTGACTTTTGCATTTGACGGAGTCAGGGTATACTTTTTTATTTAATTTTTTTCCTTCAGGTCATTTAGAATGCAAAATATTATGGTTCGGTTCTTTTTGCCGTCGTCTACCCTCTCTTTGACCCTTAGAATTGAATGCGCCTTTAAGACTTCCATGACTTTTCAATGCACTATTCTTTTGACAAGCGAATAACTATATGAAGTAGATTATTGGTTAATATTTAATATGAATGCCTAATGTTCACACTGTCACTGCATACATTTTTAAAGGCAGTAGTTGGGATGATTTGAATTGTTTTTGACAGTTTTTTCTCTTTTTTTTGGATTGTATAGAATACGCATGGAAGCTACATGCCACCAATCTTTAATGCTCCATTTGATTTTTTTTCCACTTGTTCTCATTGTGTGGCTGGTGGATCATGGGACTATTGTTAAGTTCTATAAAACTTAGATTCTGTTCATCATTACAACCCCAAATCCAGAGAAGTTGGGACATTTTGTAAAATGTAATTTAATCTGTGATTTGTTAATTGTCTTTAGCCTTTATTTAACTGACAAAAGTATACAAAGAAACAATTTTATTTTAAAATTGTATACAGATTTTGATTTTGGTGGCTGCAACACACTCCAGAAAAGTTGGGACAGAGGTTAAATAAAAGTGAAAAGACAATAAAATATCCGTGTTTAACTGTTTTGAAAGAGTCCACAATTATCAGGTGAACTGGTAATAGGTGAGGGGATCTTATTTGAGGATATTTGCATGTAAAGGATTTGAGGAAGACTTATTTATTGCTTCAAGGACACAGTTATTCACTGTTTTTTTTCTAGTCCATTCATATACACTGGTATTTATCTCGAATGAGTGCACATCATTTTAAACATATTTGGCCAAAGTGCTCCTTATTTCTTTATGTAAAGCTTTTTAATGAGGAAAAATTACCTTGTGGACCTTTAAGTGTCAATATAAGGGCCTAACAGTCGTTGTCAGGGTGCCATATCAATAAGTGGATTCCAGTGGATAATTCTCAGCGTGACACTGATTATTATAAACACCATGTCTGTCTGCGAAACGTCTGGCATCGAAACAACCCTCCCTCCTAATGAATCACTCCCCTGAGACGGTGAGAGTTCAGGCAGGTCACAGGGACTGACACAGCAGTAAAGCTCCATGCAACTCATTTATTATCCTGTTGTATTATCAGACTAATATAATATTTGTGTTACATTTGATTGATGAATGTGTCGCGTGCATTTTCATGAATGTGTGTTTGTGTGTGGTATCTAACTGCCAGAACGTGCGCATATTCACACATACGCACGTTATTCGCTCCTAATTTTAGAGCACTTAATGAGGAAGGAAAACATATGCTCCATCATCTGCTCCAGCCATATGCCAGAGCCTATAACATAAGACCCAGACACACCACCAGAGCCTATGCATCCACTGCACACGTCTGTGTTCTACATCCATTCAGACAAACTGACAAAATGTGCTCAAATTGTACTAAAAAATATTGTATTATATATATTATGTTTATATATTGTATAAATATTATATTATATCTTGACTTTTATGTATAATAAATGTACAGTAGTCAACATTTGAAGTGGATCAAAACCTTTCATCGAAGTTATACACACATTTTGAACAATACCCGTTCTTGTCTCAGGACAACTTTGCAGAACTTTTTTGATTCACTTCAAATGTTGACTACTGTATATAAAATTGCTGAAACACTTACAAAATGTCTCAAAATTTAAAAAGGATGTATTTATTATATTGATTATATTATATTAATAAAATTGTATATTGTTTTATATATAAATTATATGTATCATGACCTGTAGATTGAGTAGCTGTAGTAGTAATTATAATATAATATAGTATAATTGATCTTGACTGTGTATAATAAATGCCTATTTTTGACCACGAAAAAGTGAAAAGGAGTATTATATTAATTAATATGTTTCCACAGCCTACAGTTACGGAGTAGCTTCTCCAAAACCTTTTCCTGATGGTCATCTATCATCTCCGAAGTTTCATTACTCATGTTGATTTCTGGAATTCACACATCTGCTCTCATCTGTCTCATGCTTCACCACTCTCTTCTTCCTGCTGTATGTATTTCTTCTTATTCTCTCTCTCACTCTCTCTCCGTGTGGACAGTAGCACCCTTGAGAGTCCCAGCAGACTGGATGAAGAACACCGTCTTATCGCTCGATATGCTGCTCGTCTGGCGGCGGAGGCCAGCAACTCCACTGTGAGATTCAGTTCACAAACACACTCAAATTACACCTCTCCAAACGTTACAGGGGCGGCCGGGGGAGAACGTCTTGTTAATGAAGTTTACACAAGAGTGCACATTTGTTTTATTGTGTGGAATTTATTGAAAATCAACTGCATGTTTAGTAATATTCTTTTTACTGTGGCAGAACTTGATGTTAGTTTTGTGCATAATTAGTAATACTCTTCTCTAATTATTTTGTCTTTCAGCAATGCCCTCCAACTGATCTGAGTTTCAACTTTGATGCTAATAAGCAACAGAGGCAGCTCATCGCAGAATTAGAGAATAAAAACAGGTGGGTTTTTGAACGGTTGGATGTTTTTTCTTTACAGATCTCGAAATTCCCATATGAAGACAGAGCTTTTACTCTATGCTTGTTTGTAACCATCATTAAATGCTCTTCAAATTCCACAGCTAAATTAAAGTAACTCATTATGTATTCATATTTACCGTCCCATAAAAGAATAATGATTATGAATTGAGTGCATTCGGTAAGTGCCGTTTTTGTGTGCGATGTGTATGTAGGGAGATCCTGCAAGAAATCCAGCGTCTACGTCTAGAACATGAACAGGCTTCTCAACCCACCCCTGAAAAAGCCCAGCAGAACCCCACTCTACTGGCAGAGCTACGACTGCTACGGTACGCAAACACAATTACACAAAGGCTTTATACATGCATGCACAAAAAAATAACACAATGGATATAGTGTTAATCAGAGTTAACCAGAGCATTTCAGAACATTTGAGGTTGTTGGGAACTTAACCAATTGTAAATTGACTGGATGGGATTTTGCTAGTTATTTAAACAGAGTACCCTTTATAGGCAGCAGAGGGCATGTAGGAGCCAAATGACGGTAGTTTCCTTAATAATAGTTAGTTTTATGAGACGAGTGAATGGGCACATTTCCATTATGTGCTGATTTTTCCCTCTTTGTATTACACAGAATGTGGTTAAATCTCCATTAAACTATTTCTGAGCAGATTTAAAAGACTAAAAAGGGGTAATTTTCTACACTTTTGTCCCATTGTTAATGTTAATAAAGGTTATGTAATTTAATTTTACATGACCATTTTCCACTGTCTTTTTGAGCCATATAAGGTTGTTTTTGTCTACTGCACCTTTAAGAATAGTATATGCAAATAACCTCTATACTAATGGTTTTGGATTCAATACCGTTTCACCATGAGCCATTTTTCCCACTTAGTTTTCATAATGTGTATGAGTAGGTTGTGGAGGGAGATTTGCGTTATGAACAGTACAAGGAGCTTTTCATTTCAAAAAAGCCTGTTTTCCATCATATGTGCCATTTAAGTTATATATTTGGCCGTCATTGATTTTTATGATTCACATGGTGACTCATTTATTCATTTTGTTTGTCATTTTGTTCAGACACAGAAAAGACGAGTTGGAGAGGCGCATGTCGGCCCTGCAGGAGAGCAGGAGAGAGCTGATGGTCCAGCTGGAAGGTCTCATGAGGCTGCTGAAGGTACGAAACTTGTTGGACAAAAATTTGGCTCTTCATTTCCCATGGCATGTATGACAACATCATTTATTTTCTCATTCTATACTCACTTTTTTTCTCTCCACCACCTCTGTCTTTGGCGTGTCTGCTTTCACTCACTATCATCTCTCATCTTCTGGCTGACAGGATGAAGAGCAGAAACAGGCAGTAAGTGTTCCTTTACTACAGCTCAAACATTCTGGAGTAAACACACTGGGTCACAGCTGCAAAGGTCTGAGCTAACATGTGTATGGCAAAAGACAGACATTTTCATAAAGTTGACTGGTAAAAGACTAATGGGTTGCACAGCGCTGAAAACGGAGAGGATCACTGACAAAAAGAAAATGTTCTGTCAACATTTACTCACCCTGATTTTCTTTCTTCCATGGAACACAATTTGAGATATTAGAATGTTCAGGGTGATATTTTCCATACAATGAAAGTGAATGGGACAACAACGACAAAAAAGCAACAAAAATACTATGAATGAAATTAGTCCGTATGACTTTGCCATCATCTAACATTCACTTACAGTTAATCTTTAAAAAAAATAAGTAACTGTTAAATGCTATCTTTATCAAATCTCAAAATGAATATGCATTTTAATACTGTACGTTATAATGCATACAGTATATTGTATGCATTATAATAGCAGTGCTTTAGCAATGCTATGAAGCCTGAATTCACTTACAGTGTTTAAAATGATTATATTATATTGACTTTGTGTAAAATAAAAATATATAAAATTGCTGAAATTAACGCTTACAAAATATTTACTCAGAATTTACTACAAAAAATGTATGTAATCTTGTAATTGTGTAATGTAATCTTTAAAAAAAAAAAAAAAAATCTAAATGCATATTTAAGACTGTGATGCATAAAAACACTTTCAGCATTTCAAATGATTGTTTAGTGTTTTAGTTTACATTTATTTAGACAAAACTGTATAGAATGTTAATATCAGACATTCAGCGGTATTTAGCTATAACATGAAAATAATTATCGGCCAGAATTTTAATAGCCGTGCTTTCATACTCTTTTTGTCTTTTTTTTTGGCGTGTCAGTCCATTGTGTTCAACAACAAAAACAAGGTCATAATAGTTTGGAATGACAAAAGGATGAGTAAATGATCACAGAATTGGGACTGTTCGATACTTTACTACTACAAGATGATTGATAAGTGAAAGTTGCCAAATGAGAATCAAGCATGGATATCTCATGAGCTTATCGCAGACGGTCTCTCTGGGCGATCTCTAATACGTCTGCTCCTCATAACGAGGACATGAAGCTCCCATTTCCAGTCAAGTCCTGCTGCTTTGTTCCTGTGACCCAGGGAGGGACCACGAGCCGCATGTCTCCTTGCCAAATATCAGAGACCTGCTCTCCTTTCATCAAGGCTAAGCACCTCACGTCTAATGTGACTGCAGTCTGGCCTGCCATCTGCTGCCTGGCACTGGGCCACAGGCCTTGGGCTCAGCATCAATCTGTGAGACAGTGCGGCCCTTTTCCACCAGCCTTTTGCTCCTGTAATGGCACTTGCATGCTGCTCAGTGAGCTCTCAGGCCAAAGACGCACAGAGAATGCACTACATGGGGACAACCTAAAGAAATAGATCTGATATCTATAGCCATGTCTGCAGTAGAAGCGTTTTACCAGTGTTTCTTGGGGAGCGAGGGACCAATGGAGGTTCAGGTTGTTACACATCTAGTGAAATTTTTGCGTTCTGTTCCCTCACCCCCTCCTACAGTCTCAGACGGGGAGTTCGCCCCACTCATCACCCAGCCACAGTGCCAGTTGCACCATGCCCATGCCCATCCGCTCCACCTCGGCCGGCTCAACCCCCACACACACACCGCAGGACTGCCTGGCAGGGGTCGGAGATGACGTGCTGGATGCCTTCTCTCAGGGTGAGGAGTCTGATGCTTTCCATTGACATACATATTCATCCACACAAAAGGAGATGTATAGGAGATGTTTAGGAGATATTTAGAAGAATGTCAAAGCTGATCTTTCCTATACAATTAAAGTAGATGGATACTGGGACAATCTTTACTGGATACTTTCAATCTTTAAGAAGGACAAGATGTACCATAAAGGTATTCTATACAACTATTATTGACAATGTTTCGAGTCTTCTAATGCCACATGAAAGCTCTGAGTGAGGAATAGACTGAAAGTTTAAATCGCTAAATTAATTTTTGGTTGATATCTTTCTTTTTAGCTTTGGTTATTGTGATCTGAAAATGATCTTCTTTCTTCCAGGTGTACCAAGAAATCTCCGTAATGATCTTTTGGTGGCTGCAGACTCGATCACAAACACTATGTCGTCACTAGTGAAAGAACTTCACTCAGGTACTCTTGTGAACTTGCTTCTGTCCTCTAGTACCTACAGTACTTCATGATTTCAGTGGTACCTAACGTTTGTAAATCTCACAGTGGATGACGGTCTGGAGGATGAAGAGGAGAATTTGCGAAATGGAAGGGAGAAGGGTGAGTCCCAAAGGCCTTGTTTCGCATTTTACCCTTATTCCTTTACTTATGTTCTCTTAGAATAACAGCTAATATAATTTGTCTTCCGTAAGCTTCCAAGCTATTATTTATTGGGATGCACAATATATCAGCAACATATCAGTCGATATTGCACTGTAAAAAAATATTGTTGTGATTTTTTTATTAGAATGAGAATTAATGTGTTGTTTCAACTTAAACTATGTATTTGTGCTTGCCTTAAAATATTAAGTTTAGTTAACTTTGGAGTTAAGTTGGATATTTAAGTTATCTCAACAAATTTTAAGTTGTTGTTAACTAATTGCAGGAACATTTTCTTTCTTTATTTTTTTTTTACAGTGTGGAGATTTAATATATATATTTTTATTTTTTTCAATTTTGCATAGCCTACCATTCAAAAGTTTGGGGTCAGTAAGATTTTTCTACTTTTTCAAAGAAATTACTACTTTTATTCAGCAAGAGCACATTAAATTGATCAAAAGTGACAGTAAAGACATTTCTAATGTTACAAAGGATTTCTCTTTCAAATAAATGCATTTGCTGTTCTTTCTATTCATCAAAGAGCCCTAAAAAATACATGTATCATAGTTTCCACAAAATGATTACTGTGATAATATTGATCATTTTTTTCTTGAGCACCAAATCAGCATGTTAGAATGATTTCTGAAAGATCATGTGACACATAAGACTGGAGTAATGATGCTGAAAATTCAGCTTTGCCATCACAGGAATAAACTACATTTGAAAATGTATTAAAATAGAAAACGGTTATTTAAAAATTTCACAATATTGCTGTTTTTACTGTATTTTGATCAAATAAATGCAGCCTTGGTGAGCATAAGAGATTTAAAAAAAAAATAATTGAATGTATTTATTTGCAACAGTTAAAAATAATGAGTTTTTAGCATTTTAGTTTTAATTTATATAGACAAAGTCATAAAATTTTTTATAAATCTGAATGAATTGGACATACAGTAAAGAGTTACATTTTAATATCGGTGCATCCTTAGTTATTTAAAGAGATGAAACATCCACAATTTTTAGCCTACAGAATCTAGTCATTAGTTGTCAGTAGTTTCTCGGTTTGATTAAGGCCTCTTTTCTTTCTTCTAGCTGAGTCAGAGTAAAAGAATATAGAATATTTCATGTAAGTATAATTGAGAGCATTGACTAGTCCTGCCCTGAAAGCCAAAGTTTAATGTGTAATGTGCTGTGGCGCCGTCATGACCCCCTAACCTTAAATTTGTGTTTTGTCCAGTGTCATCGCTGAAGCATTCTGGGAAAAGGCAATCCACCCCTTCATTCTAAGCCCCAGGAAAGAACCAGCGACATCAAAACCTCCCTGGCATTCGCACAAATGCATGCTCTTCCCCAACTGGGTTTCACTATGTGAAAAAAAAACTCTTCATCACATCTTGCACAGAGCAAGTTGTATTTATTAGGAAGTATATAAATATATACAGTATATATATATATAAATATAAATATAGCTCTATGTCTATCTGTATAAACCCATTGTTATCATGTTACCCATGAGAATGGCTTGTTTGTGCTTTCTTAAAAAACCTTTATGAATTTGTGATTACTACTCTCGGAAACGAACGCACTGTGCATCTTCATGACGTCACTCACTCAAATCGATATAAGCTGTAGCTATTTTTCCAGATGTTCCCCACGCAGGAAGCTTTTTTGTATAATTAGTGATGATTTTTGTGTTTTAATGCATGGAGTGGCTCTGCTGGATAGATGGAGAGGGCTTGTATTTGCTCTGCATGCGACATTTATGCCTGCTCCGTCGCTCCTTATAGTCTTCTGATCATCAAACCGCTGCTTCTGCATCACACGCATCAGAACCGCCATATATCAGGGACGTCTCGTAGAGCTCGCCGTTTGTCTGGGATTTCTGCTACTGTGTTAAGTTTAGCCCGTCGTTGTGGCCGTTGTTTTAGCGCTTCAGTATCGCCTCTTAGTTTAGAGTAGCGCATTTGTATCTCTCTGTATTTCCGGAGAGCATAAAGGGACTTTGATGGAATGCGGATAGATTCCGGATATCCATAAACCAGCTTAGCCAGCCATCTTTGAGTGCACACGTCTCTGTGTAAAAGTTACTTCAAAAGCTTTATTGAGTTCAGTTATTGTGTATATTTGTGTGAAATAAATGAAACAAGTGCTCAGGGACTGTTGAGAGAGGAACACGGTAGCAATACTTGTGAACAAATTGGTGGAATTTACTTTGACCCTCCCAAAGGTCAAATGTCAAAGATTAGCACAGGTCATAAAATCTTTATGGAATGGCTGAGGGTGGTAAACAGAAACGGTATTGTATGGAAGCCCATTTCTGCCACATAAGAAAAATGCTTTGGTAAATCATAATTGCGCGATAAAAGTCTAAATTATGAGATGTCATAATTATGCAATGAAACGCAATAATTATAACATAAAACAAAATGATGATATAAAAGTCAAAAGTTTGACATAAAAGCTGAAATGATGACAAAAGGTAAAAAGTTCAAATTAGTACATAAATAGTCAAAATTGTGAATAATTATAGTCACAATTATGAGAAAGTGTCATAATTATGACAAGTCAAAATTGACATTAAAATAAATTGACAGAGAGTCAAAATCATGACTTTATTTGTCAAAATTATGACAAGTCAAAATTGACATTAAAATAAATTGACAAAGAGTCAAAATCATGACTTTATTTGTCATAATTAACAATTCCAAATAGAATTTTATGTCATAATTATGATTTACCAAAGTAGAATTTCTATAGTGTTGCAGTGTTAAGAAGAGTCTAAAGCTTTATTGTCATGAGGAAGACTTGAATGAATTCGACTTACCGTACTTGAATCAGAATCAGAAGGAATTCAGGTTCAATAATTACATTTCTCTAATTATTATACATATGTGACTTTATTATACTCGTGATTTGTTCTTTATTAGGTTGGTTTCAAATAAGAAATAATAATTGCCATTATTTAAAAAAATACCTTTTGTTTATGACTGCTAACATTTGAATGTTAAATTAGATAAATCCATTGAGCAACAGTTTGAAGTGAGTTTTGGTGTAGAATATTAAGATTCTTTGACATTTATGAGGGTCTCAGTAGGTGTAATGATTCATTCACTGTTTAATACTTTTTAAAATGCTTGTAATTCTGCATAAGGAGGTCTTTTGAATGGCTACAATATGAACAGTGAGGTCTCATTCAATGTTTTACACTGGAAAACAAAGTGTCGCTTCTGTTATAGTGGGTGAAATCTTATATACTTGCTTTTCAAATCGATTTTTACATGATCATAATGCTTGTTCTGTGATTCAATGAAAGGAATATAAAATACAGTTGGGAATTTACTGGCATTGTTTAAATTTGCAAGAAATAATACAGCTTGAATGACTGTACGAAATGCTCTCAGATCGCAAGTTTGAAAGTTCGATTATGTTCCAACATTTGCTACAAATATGAATGCAATCTTCTGATGTAGGTGTGTGCCTAGATGTACTGTATAAAGTGCTGTATAAAATAAAAATTCTGCACATGTGCAAGTCAGCCCTTAGATAGGAGTTTTAGTATGTGACTTAGTCGGAATGCAGTCATTATGTACCTGTGATTTTTGAAAAAAAAAAAAAATTTGTTCTGCCTTTAAAAGTTGTGCCAAACTGTTTGCCAACCTGCAGTGTGTCTTTTAGGTCTTTGTTCTGTGTATTTGTGTGTGTTAAACCACAATGTATTGATTATGAATTTACTGAAGCAGCCCACAGAGAGGGTAACTAATTATGGGGTGCCTTGTTGAAATACAATACAGTTTAAGAGGAAGGAACCCTGCTTGAAATCAATTTCAAGCATCATTGCGAATTTATATGTTACAGATGGGCCCCCAACAGAGGACCTCCTATGTTATCAAGACGAAACACTATTTCAAAAACTAAATCTGGACCATCAGGTTTTAGTTTCTTCAGCAACTTGTGAATTTATTGTTTTTAAAAACCAACTGTCAGTTTGAAGCCACAAACACGGTTTAATTTTTTCATTTGAGGGTTTTTGCTGCTGTATACAATCATTTATTGCAATGGTTTACGTCCGTATTTATGTTTACGTCACCCCTATGTCTTTTTGTAAACTATTAAAGGGTAAAGAAAAACTTCAAAGGACAATGAATGTGTGTGTGTGTGTCTACAGAATAATATTACGAGTAATAATATATCAGCTCCTATAGGATTGAGTTCAGACCTGTTGTCAAAGGGACCCGATTAAGGGGCCACATAAAAAAATGTTAAATGTGTATTTAAGCAGCAGTCCTGATTGAATTACAAAACATTTATGCCACGGACAACCATGAAAAATGTACCTTTCACAACTCCTTACTTTCAATGTCATTCATGAGACTTTTTTTTAGTGCAGCACAAAAGTAAACGCTAGGCGGAATAACTTGTATGCGCAAGCAGTTTTCTGTGAGATTTCGTTACCAACCCCCTCACTCCCATTTTTTTTTTTTTTTTACTGAACATGTTTACCTAAAATGGGCTTGTCCTGGAAAAGTCTCAGGGACTCATAGACCTTATAGCTACATAAATCACTTATAAGGCAAGTCTATGCATTGGCGGCCATCTTTAATACCCCCAGGCAGCTATTTCCAGTTATGCAAGTACAGCTGAGATTGTTTCTTTAGCTCAAATTATGCAAAACCAAATTTTTCCAGGCCTATTATTTAGGCCTGTTCCAGCTAATGTGTAAACAAGATGATGCCTTCCAAATAAAAAATGTGACAGGCTCTTTTAATGTTAAGCCTATAATGAGCATTACAGTTTCTCTTATTAATTTTTAAACACTGAAAAAAAATTGGTATAGAATTCACTTTCACTTTGAAATTGCATTTCACAAATAATTACAAAGAAACAGCAAGTAACACATTGATTTAACAAAAGACTGAGGCTATGTTTACTCAACAATGATGTATAGCCTACTAAAAACAGAAAAGTTTCCCTTTCCGTTTTTTCGTGTAGGCCTACAGACTACAACGGAAATAGGGTTGATTTCCATTTCATTCCAACTTTAAGGTAAAACAGCATGTCTAATTTTCACAACAAATGTTTTCCAGAATTTTATTCCAGACATTTTTTTCAATATTGCATTATATGTTCGGTACCTATAGCACACACAAAAGTAGGCTACCCTTTGAATGGACGCTATGGCTATAGGTCTATGTCACAGGCACAGCCTCGTTTTCATTTATGAAAAAGTAAATGGCTTATTCCTTGAATACATGTTGATATTGTCACGCTCATTAATAACCGAACTGTGTGTGAACATAATGCAGCACTCTTAAAAAAGACTGTATTCTGCCTCAGTGTGAACGTAGGCTATAACAGCCTCCAAAAGGTCTTACAGTCACAATGAAACGGAAGTAAGGACAGATATTTTTTTTCCACATTGTGACATCCTGTACATCTGAGACTGAGTGCAACAGATTATTGAAAAAGATGGGGTTTAAGCTGACTAATTGATTGGAGATGTCCCGCATACGTCACCAAAGAGAAGTGTGTTGTGTTCACTGGAAGATCCAGGTATGACGTTTTTGATTAAAAACATACATACATGTATGAATCGTGCACAATAAGATCTATAGGATTTAGAAAATAGATAGGGGTGAAGGTTCAGTTATGACTCTCTACACCCGACCCGTAACCGAATGTCTCTAGGACCCGCGCGGAGCTGCTGCTGGAGCGCTGGCCTCTGCAGTCAGTGTGAGCGGAGCATCTGGAGGAGAGCTGGCCGGCTGGGGAGGTGGTGGAGGACGGGGAGAGCGAAGCAGAAGGAGGATCCGGGAGTCAGCGAAAACATAAAGGGGTCAGGTCTGGAACTTGGCGAAGCGGGTAATTAACACTGCGATTCGCTTGTGTAAAACCTAAAGCCGCCATTGAAATAAGTCTCCGCCGTGGGGTTCCCAGTTTTTTTTGGGGACAATACGGAGGGGGGCGACTCGATGTGGCCAGTGGTTTTTCCTGGTCCTACAGATGTGCGATTAATGCACTGCGATATGCGCTTGAACTTGATGAGCGTTCATTTGTAGAGCCTCGTCAATCCGCTCGATTTGAAACAATGGCTATGTGTTTCAAAACCTAACGAGCTTCCTACTTAGACAGCACATTTCGTTTCGCACGCGCTTATGATGCCCAGAAATAGCAAAAGACACGCTTAAGATGCCCAAAAGTGCTGTCTAGGTAGGCACCTAGGTTTTGAGAGTGTCTCGTTTTTAAGCCGCCGTGGCCTTTTTGGAAATGACTGTCATTTAATAGCGCCGAATAATCCGAGTAGGCGGATGATTAAAATAGATTTTTATGCATTTATAAAACTGTGATATACATGTGATCAATTAACACCTTGTGATTGGGTACCTGTGTGACACATCTTACCTAGTTATTGAATATTAATGACTTCCACCGCCATTGCCCTTGTATAATTGTACTATGGAGACCAGAGTTTACGTCAAAATACCAGTCACAGTTATTGTTAGTACTGTAGAAACTACTCTATGGTTACCAGTGTGATTGTTTTGTAAGAGTTAAAGGAATAGTTCACCCAAAAAAATTAAATACTGTCATTCAGGTCACAACCAACTTCTAAAGCCATATAGATTTAACCGTTGAACTTTCAAATCTAATTTGTTATACATATATTCAAATTTTGCCGTCGTGATTGATTACAAAACATGAAATCCAATGTCGTTTGGCATCAAATGAGATTTGAGAGTTAACAACTTTTTTTTTTTTGGTCTGTTTTACAACGAAAGTTATCAAATGAATTCAGAACACAATACCACACTAGTCATTTGAGTGACTTTTATTATGTTTTTTGTTATTTTTGGAGCTTCTCAGCCCCTGGTCACCATTTATTTTCATTGTCTGGAAAAGAGCAACATGGACATACTGATAGACCTCTTTTGTTTTCCTCTGGAAGAAAATATGGTATACAAGTTTGGAACAACATTACAATAAGTGAAGTATTCAGAAGACAGAGTTTTACATTTTTGGTGAACTATTCCTTTAACGATAGATTCGCCTAATTTATTGACCTCTAAATCAAATTTCATGGGACTTTGGTGTCCTACTTGTACAAAAGGCACATTGAAGCACACATACATGGCAGTGAAGAATACAATGTACATATGTAACTGCTCTGAGGAGAAAAATAGGAAATACCATAAAGCGAAGAGTTCATATTTCACCCCTGAGAAGGGTTTTCATGTCGCTGTAGGATAATGCATACATTTTGAATACGAGACAACTCAACAGTACGTTATTATCTGGTGCATTAGACTGAAAAAAATATGTTTAATTAAGGTCGATTTCTCATGCATGCACTGAATGTGCATCTTATTAATTTCTTATTCCCAATGATTTGCTTAAATGTCAATCTTTTAACCACTTATCAGACATTAAGAAGTCTGTTACATAAACATTTAAAAGCATCTCATCTCACTTATTTGAGAGCAACATTTTATTGTGAAAC